AACAACAAAAATTGTAAAAAACTGCGATTTTCAACCCGCCTGCCAAGCGTGGCAACTATGGCAAAATCCTATCAAAATCCTATGAGGCTATCTATGGGGGAGGCCGATCTATATAAGTGGAAGTTTTTTAAGGTTGTAATAATAGATGGATGGAATGGCAAAACGAAAATATTTAACGATTTACCTTTTATAACTGCCGTGTATTACGACTGTTGAAATCGCGGAAAAAAACAAACTGTAATTTTATTTTTAACGACAACCTTTAATAGTATGTTTGCGTTGCGTGCGGCCGCGTGCCGAATGTCATTGCCAAAACAAATAATACTATTAGTATGCAGTAATAATACTAATACTAACCTAGTACTAACTAATTACAATCTGAGGGGTAGTAAGGAAATAAAAGGTAGCTTCGATTGACTTGTGTGAACAGCTGAAAACTAATTTTGTAAAATGTGTTATAATAATATAATGATTTGTCTTTTTTAATTCGTTTTTTAATACTAGTTTGATTACATTCACAATTATCATCATCCATCGATGAGTTTTTGTGGTAGCGTGGTCAATCGGTGGCGACGTTAGTAGCCGTATATCGGGATTTAGGAAAGAGGTAGCACTTTTGCACACAAGTTTTTAAACGACTTTAAAAAAAAGGACTGTATTTTTTTTGTGTGTCACCTCAAAACTTTTTTTCTAGGTGAACCGATTTTGATGATTCTTTTTATTTGAAAGCTGGTGCTTCTCATGTGGTCCCATATAAATTTGATCAAGATCTGATCTAGTTTTTGAGTTATCCTTAGTAATGCGCTTTTTATTTATACTGAAGTCGATGGTATAAAATTTTTAATTTTAACACTTGTTATATAATATAAAATCCCAGTATGCATATGTTCGTAACTCTTCTCCTCCCTAAACGGCTTGACCGATTGTGATAAAATTTTTATGATACCCCATCATATTTGGCGAAGTTGTCGAGATCCAGAGATCACCCGTGCGAAGCTGCTGGAATATTCGAAGTGTTACAACAGCTTTAGTCAAATTTAAAAACACATATTTAATGATTACCCGCACACATCTGTGCACTCGGATATAGGCCACGTAGCTGAGGTGGCACTTAGGAAAGTGTCACTCGAATTCAGGAGCGCTGCTAGCCTAGTGCGTGCATTGTTCTTCCGCCTCGACCCAGTTGCACCGACGTATTTGACAAAGGGCCACGAGGCATCCAGTGTTTGTGTTAGCGACATCCGAATACAGTGCACTTTCCATTAACAGAGACAATGCAAAAGAACTAAGCTCTAGATACAGTCTCACGTAGATGAGGCAAATGTGGATAAATTTACATATATAAATTTCTTATTTCTTTTGTGAGTTCATTGTTTCCGCCCTTTGTTTTACGAATGGTTTTTTTACCTACCTACAATAATAGCAGCAAACTCTAGGTTTGTTAGGTAAATAAAACAGATAAATAAAAGTGAACATTAATTACATTAGTCAGGTAGCAACGATTAGAAGAACGTATGTTTGATAGTGTTGTCGTTTAGTCCACAACAGTATATGACTTGATATTATTATACTTCTCTTTCATAATCATTACAGCCCTTTAAAAGTCTACTGCTGAACATAGGTCTACGTCAAGAAATCCCACAAAACATGGTCATAAGGCACCTGTATCCATCGACTTCTAGCATGTCATGCAGGAAGTCGATGGTTGCATGATGTCGTTTTTTTTTATAGGATATGGGTGACAAACGAGCACACAGTCCACCTGATGGTACATCTATCCTCAATTACGAATCAAAATGCAGATGCGTTGTCACCCATGAGGACTAAGATGGAGTGCCTCATTTCCAGTGAAAAGGGTCTCCGCCTCCTTACACTCACCATACGAAACACAGCAGCGTTATAGCAGAATGAAATGGAGGTGCAGCATTAAGCTGCTATTTTACGCTGGTTTTCTGTGAGAGCGTGGTCCTTCCCCGGTCGAGCTGACACATTCATGCTGCAACTATACCAATGATATAGCTGCAGCATGGCTCTACTACGTGAAATGATGTCCCTGCTGCAATATAGTGTAGGTACAGGTGGTGTAAAAATATTCACTATCCCATATCAGTCCGTGGGTATCGTAAGAGACGAAATAGTGAAACAAAACAGGACATGGACAGCAAAATATTTCTGATAACAACTAAATAACAAGGAATAAACTCTCTGTCTGCCAAGCGCGTAAACAACGTTAATGTGAAGTAAAAAATATTTTCCTTTACTGGAAAAGATTTTTTGCTTACGTGGTAGAGCCACGCTGCAGTTATACTACGGTTGTAGCACGAATGGGTCTGACCGGGGTAGGACAACGATCTCACAGAATACCAGCGTAAAAAAGCAGCTTAATGCTGCATCTGCATTTCGTTCTGCATTTCTTACCATCAGGTGGACTGTGTGCTCGTTTGTCACACTTATACTATAAAAAAAGATTTGCCCTTGCTTGGCAGCCTGATTTGTGATTACAATGCCCGATGTTTCGCATGTATCACCTTGCACTCTTAAACTGTCTGTGTATTTTGCACCTAATATTACATATATTGTATTAAAACAAATAATTAAAAAAATCATCATATCCTTTCACAAATAGAGAGTTAGAGAAATGGGGGGCGATCAAATTTATCAAAAAAGGTATTTTCTATCCTCAAAAACTATAATACTCAAAACTCAGCTCCAATTTGTAAAACTTTATTTCTCATAAGTGGTATCTATTTAATATGTATTTCAGTTCTCTAAAATAATTACCAAAGTTTAAAATAAGCAGTGCGAGTAACACTTCAACTATAAGTAATAATTAGACTCGTATAGCTAGTTAACTACCATAACGTGAAAGTAATGAAGAAACACCGGTTTATTTTCTAGTAATTTACATATTATTGGTCATAGTTCAGTAAGCTAAAGAGGTAATGGGCCGGCCATATATCTATGTAAACGGACAACAGATGGGAAAAAAAGGTTCTCGAGAGGCAGCCTCATACTGGAAAGCGATTTTATACGTGGTAGAGCCATGCTGCAGCTATATTAGTAGTATAGTTGTAGCACGAATGGGTCGGCTCGACCGGTGAAGGACCACGCTCTCACAGAATACCAGCGTAAAATAGCAGCTTGACACTGCTGTGTTACGTTTGGTGAATGTAGAGAACCGGTGACCCATTTTACTGGAAAAGAGGCATTCCGTCTTAGTCCTCACGGGTGACGACGCATCTGAATTTTGATTCTTTATTGAGGATAAATGTCTATGGACCGCAGCAACCACTTACCATCAGGTGATCTGTGACTGTGCTCGTTTGTCACCCTATCCTATAAAAAAAAGCGAAGTGTAAGGCAGTCCCGCACTAGATGGAGTGACGACCTGGTAAAAGAAAGTCGATGGTTGCAGGTGGTTTCATTCATCCATTACAGCCTATAAAAGTGCAATGCTGAAGGTAGGCCGCCTCCTCCACAGATTGTCTATATTGGGGCACTTTGCCATAGTTGCCACGCTTCGCAGGCGGCCAGTTTTTTTTTATTACATTGAGTTGTTATCGCGAAAATTGTTGCTGCCCATCTCCTGTTTTAATTTCTCTTTGTCGCCTTAGGATATTCTTTCAACGCCACTACACAGCAGATGGCTTAGGACAGTGGATGATGATGATGTTTATGTTGATGATGATCACGATTGTAATGAAGTCGAGAGATTAATAAAATAAATAGTGGGAAGACTAGCAATCCATATTCAAATATCAAATCATGACGATAAAAATAGTCAAAATGTATTAACAAATTTTATCCGTAAGCTTTTAGTACTTTGAGTACTAACACATAATTAACGTTGGTTTAGTCAATCCGAAGGAAATTTCAAACGCCTGATCCGACGTGTGTAGAAATAAAATGAGGGACGAGAGGTTATTTCGGGAACATTGCCTCTAGACCTTTACGTTTTAGGAAATTGTTTAATACAATATTTTTTTAACAAAATCTTCTACAAAAACTTGGAATTTTAGTTGAGCAAGGGCCATTAAAGGTCTTCTTTAGAGTTAAACAATTTTCTTATTGTATTTTTTACTTACTTACTTATCTTCACGCACAATCCCTGACGGGGTAGCCAGAGAGAACAGATCGCCAAGTGTCACGATCCTTACAAACCTCTTTCGCTTCTTTCAGATTCATTATCTTCTTCATGCATGCACGTCTAGGTATCCGAGTACTCTTGACCCTACCCTCTTCGAGCAATTTGCTCACATGGTCTTCGAAAGTTAGTCTCGGTCTACCTCGACACCTTTTAATATTAACTTTCGCGCTATATATTTTCTTCACCATTCGGTCTTCACTCATTCGCTCAACGTGCCCAAACCACCGAAGCACGCCCTTATCAACTTTTGTGATAAGGTCATCTTTCAAACCTGCCATATTGCGAATCTCTTTTTTGTATTTTTTGTATTTTTTTATGTTATAATTTGCGAAAGAAAATAGTCTAGTAAAAAATTCCAGCAATATTTTTTAAGTACCTACTGAATAAATGGAATGTATTTACATTTGTAGAATGTTTACGTAGAATAATATTAACATCCTACATAAACCGTTGGTGCGTCGAACGATTGATGATATACACATAACTATATGTTTGGTATATCGAGATGATGGTTCACAGTAATGCTAGAAACCGATAAATCGCATCGTAGTCAAGTTATTAACAAATTTAAAACGAGCACACGGTCCACCTGGTAGATGTATACTCGGTTGAGAATTAAAATGTAAATGCGTTGTTACCTATAATTTAGCTTTAGTTAACTATAATATAGCTAAAAATGTGTGTACCCACCACACATTTTTTATAATAAAGTTACAATTAATTTAATTTAACGTTGTAGAGCTGCTGCTATATTATAGTTGTAGCACAAAAGGGGCGGCTCGACCTGCAGAGGCCCACGCTCTCACAGAATACGACTACGATTACAATACGTGTGAATATAAGACAAGCATACCTCCTGGTTGCACTGCGAGCAGAAGTCGTGACGGCAGGTGGGACAGTGCGCGGGGCTAGCGGCGCGCACCGACACCACTGTGTCGCAGCCGACACGGGGACAAAACGCACGTCCAGCGTCCATCGACACCTCTGTAACAAACGTATCAAAATGTTAAAAAAGGAGAACGTTTCCAATTCGTCGAAATATTTTTTTATACGCTCAGCGATAATTCATTTTAAAACGTCTTTTTTGTTAGAAAGGGAGTATCCTTCTGGGATAGTCCCATATAAATTTGGTCAAGGTCTGATGATGGGATTCATGTGAAAATATTAAAGACTCTATAGTTTGGTATAGCATCAGCACGACTTATAGCCCAATAATTAATAAACTAATTATTTTACTTTGCCATCCGATATCGATGATTATATTTTTTTTTATTTTTTTGAATTCGGTTTTTACCTCTAAAAGTGTAAATGACCAAAAAAACCTCATTAAGTTCTTCTTAACAAGGTTTCTTTTCAACGGTGTGATATTAATGTTATGACATGGAGATAGAGTGATAGATAGAGTAGAAGGAGAACCATCTCATATGGGGGGAAAGTTGAAAAAGTGTCCAACTGTATACTGAAAATAGAGGTTCCAAAACCTACCACGATAGCGATGGCGTCTGAAAAACTACGATATGAATATAGCTGTTGTAGACGGAGTGAGGTCAGCTGAATTCAAATATTTAAAAATTTTCATGACTGAGTAGTTAGTAAACAAAACCACTATTTACGTAGCCTAAAACAATTAAGTTGATATAACTAAAAAACTGCTGTGAGAAAACGTGATTTAATTAGTGTGACTTTTTAAAATAATTATTAGTGATTATATTATGGTGATAAATCGTTGAATATCTGTTTAACCAGCTTGTTCATTTTTCTACATTTACACTGACAAATGCCTAACTACTATCATAAGTACACAACTTGTTATTAATAAAAATGTTTAACTATAACTATTGTTATCAGTGATTGTTACATTATTTTTACAGCATACAGGTATTTTTTAATTATCAAATATAGAATAAATTAAAAGTCATTGTATTGTTATAATAATTATCATAGATAATTTTCTCAGTTTATTTCTAATTTAGAATTTGAGATATTTACACAGAATATTATATAAGTAATTTCATCTTCTAAATATTTCTAACTCATTCACTCATCTATCTATACATATAATAAAAATGTAAAAAGCAGACGTCTATACTTTTTATATTTTTGTAATAAAAGTGATTGAGAGGTACTAAAAATAAGTAACTAAATACATTTCTACCATTTTTAGAATTTTCTGTCTGTCTGTCTGTTTGTTTGTTAACGTATCACGTATAAAGTACTAATTTATATCATAAGAATCATTAAGGAAAATATAAAGTGTATCTTCGTGTTACATTTACTCTTTATTTGATTAAAATCAGTTCATTCAATCAAAAGTTATGATAAATATTCTTAAGTATGAATACGAAGTATAGGTACGAATTTGTTCAACGGTGGCGTTGGTTGAGTCATCAAGTGCATTTTAAATTAATACTATATCATAAATCATAATTAAATTAGGTAAAATAATGTTCCATAATGATATAATTATATCTAAAACGCAGTAAAGAAAAGTATTAAAGAACGTATTAAATAAAATAATATACAAAAATATATTATAACCTTATTAACTAAATCTAAAGTGAAATAGTTAAGCAATTTCATCGATAGATGGCGGTATGGTCCAAATGTAATATAAAAAGGCGTTTAGCTTACTATGCAGACACTGGTTTATAAGTTCTTTTATGTTTTATATATATATAATAATGTACCAATCGCGTCAATTAATCTCTTTTATTTTTAGGATTGATTGCTGTTAGCAGCGCCATCTCTCTTTAAATATATACTTATAATTAAAATGGTGATAACATGTTGTCTGTTTTTGTACATTGTATAGAATATTTGTCACTAAAATCATTATAGGGAAATGAAAATAATTAAGTAAACACATTTTTATAATTTTTAGAATTGTCTGTCTGTCTGTCTGTTTGTTTATAAACGCATCACATCTAAAGTAAACATTTTTTTTTAAAGAAATCGTTAAGAATATCATAAAGCGTATCTTCAAGTTACATTTAATTTTTGTTTTATTAAATTCGGTTAATTCTATCGAAAGTTATGACTATTAGATTAAAATGTAGGTTCTAATTTGTTCAATGGCGCCATAAAATCTCAGAAAAAGTAATAAAAAGATTTGTGTGTAAAAAACGTTCTATAATAATATATTTATACTTAAAACAAAGTAAACAATAAAAAAGATGTTTTCCTTAAATTAAAAAAGTTTTCTCACAACGAACGTAATAGATGGCATTGTACAAATTACATTATTTTCTGAATTGCGGCGTTAAGATACTCTGAATCGTATTGAGACTCACTGACGTGCAGTCACAGTCTCACAAATAACCATACATTACCCAGAACCAATGTAGATATTATATATTTTCAATTTCAATTTAATAAATTAAATTAAATGATATGTATTATGAGTTTATTATGAGTTATAAATATATATGTATATATAGATAAGTAAAATAGTCAATTTATTTTGTAACAGAGTATAATGAACATACTAATATCCGAAATCACAACTTCCCAGCGTACTCATATCCCAACTTCAAAGGATGCTACATGAAATAAATCCATACGTTCATAGTTTTAGGGTTGCATTGCAATCGATCCGTCAAGATTTAATAAGCAATTATAAAATAGTTATTAACGCTGACAGACGTCCTGTTACTAAAAAAAAAAAGTTACTGAACACCGCGGTAGCAACTTTCCTGTCATTGATGAAGTGGCAGTGGTATTAGTTGACCAGGAGTGCGATAGACGTGACATCGTGTTGCACACACATGACGATCGACTGCCAGGGATTTATGAAACACATCGATATTATGATGCTATACAATATCCATTAATATATTGTCACGGTGAAAATGGGTACAATTTCGGAATTTATCAAGTTAATCCTAATACCAGAGAGACCAATTTTAATAAAAAAATATTTGCTCTGCAATTTTATTTGCACCTGTTACATGTAAGGCATCTTGCGTATCTGCAAAGATTTCGGGGGTTGTTTTACCAATTTATAGTGGACATGTATGCGAAAATAGAGACGGAGCGCTTAGTGTATATACGCACTAACCAGAGACGTCTGTTACACTGACGTCTAATTAGTGATATTGATACAGTAATGATATAAATCGTTTAATATTTTCTTACCTGAATGTCAAATTCTCCAAGTAAAACCTATATACGCGAGCTACGCCGCGGGCACAGCTAGTCAGTAATATTTATAAGTGTTTTACTTATTTTCATATTAAAAAAGTATTTGGATTGTATAATTCTTGCACATTCAAACTGTTGTGCTATGTGCTAAGTTCAGTTTTCATAGGTAGTAGGGATAGGCTACCACCACCATTGTGCGATATTATAGAAACATAAAACCGATTGCAATAATTATTGAATGCCATTGTTGTTGTGAACACTAGTAAAGCAAACAACAAGTAATCACGTGTGTAATTACTCTTCCTGCGACTTCCGTAATACTATTGTTGAAAATGTAATCGTTTTGTTTATATAAATTAATAATATAAATCGTTGTATAATACGCTTGTTGATTTACTTTACATTTACACCTTATTTATCCCACAAGACTTGTTATTTTTCTTTCAACAAATAAATTTTAACAAGTTAAAATAATTTAAAATTTTACTTGTGAATTCTCTTAAAATTTTCCGCATTACAATTTCTGACTTTGAAAAAAAAAATAATTTATACGTTTGTTAACTTGATTGTTTGAAACGACGCTTTTTTAATTTTAAATTTATATTCCCTTTATGATTACAAATCATAATATCGTATGAGTGTGCTCCGACCATATCTTTTGTTTCAAAAGTGCGCCAAAACCAAGCGGAATGGTCGGTACTTGTTAATTTCTCTATCTTATACTAATTTCTTTTAGCGCTTTCATAAATTTATCCTATGATACTGCAGCGCCACCCTTATTGGACGCGTTTTTACGGACACTTTTCATATACAGAGATGGTCCTCCTTCTACTCTATACTCCATGTATTAGTTGTTTTAATTGTTATAATGGGGCTGACAAATCTGTTCGGTATAAATAAATAAAAAGAAAAAAAAAATAGGTGGTGGTTGTAGGTTTTTAATAGTTTTATTGTTATTATTTTATATAATTCATACATTTGTTTATTTTTATCTATTTGCCGTAACATATAGGCGAATACATGCCAGCGTGGTGGCAGCTAAACAGAATCCATTAACCCAGTTGATTCCGTAAGCGTTTTAAGAGATGACTATAGAAAATGCAGAAATATCTCATGGCTTACGATAAGGAACTAATCAAAAGTCCGCTACTGAACATAGGCTTTCCCCATAAATTGTCTTAGTTCTGCCATAGTTGCAATCCCTGGCAGGCGGACCTTGCCGCTGTCCGACCGGTTTGCTGCTGTCCAACTTCTATTTCCTATATTCAGCAGTGGGACTGTGATAGGCTTTATCGCTAACGGTAACGATCACGAAATCTATTACAAATTTTCTAAACGATAATTTTATGTGCTAGTGGAAACGGTATGATGGTACAGGAATTTTTAAACGTTTTCAGTTTTTAAGCATTTAGATACTTATACACTACAGTTTTGTAACTTTTAATATTTACAAGATAACTATGAACTGTAACAATAAACATGAAAGGATTATAATGTAGTGACTGCATGAACGGCAAGCAAACGCACGGCTAAATGAAAGGCTCAAGCACGAGTCAAGAGCGGGAAAAGTCACGGTCGAGCGTTGCCTCGCACTATCAACGCGGATTACGGCACGGACACGTTTGTTTGTCGCTAAAGTAACCTCAGTTATTATTTACTAATCTCGTCGGTTTCACACCGACTTTCTAAAAGGAAAAGGTCTATAAATATTTTATTTAAATTCGAACTTAATTAATCGAAATTTTGTAGGTTATATTCTTCCTCAAGTACAAATTTTATTAAAACTGAATTTAAGAGTACATATTGAATGAATGAATTAATGAATCATTTTATTCTCTCTTCAC